TTTTTATAATGATAATGATTATTAATCTTGTTATTATTATCATTATCATTATTACATTATTATTGACAATGGTCAGTATTCATTGTGATGATCTCACTGATATCTCCCCCTCCTCCAGGACCTACAGGCAGACGTGGACTGCCACCAGCCCGGCATCGAGTCGCTGCACCAGTCGGGGAACCAGGTGGTGCGCAGCATGGGGGCGCGCGAGTCGCACAAACTGCAGGCGCGGCTGGAGGAGATGAACAAACGCTGGCTACACCTCATGGAGAAGTCAATGGAGATACGGTGAGTTGTAGTGACATGTATATAATGTCTATGGAAATACGGTCAGATGTAGGGATAGAAAGTCTTTGGAAATACAGTAAGATGTGGGGACATATATATATATATATATATATATATATATATATATATATAATGTCTATAGAAATACCGTGAGATGTGGGGACATATATATATATAATGTCTATGGAAATATGGTAGGAAGTACTGAAATGTAGGCCTATATTACGTCCTTGGAAATATGGTAGGACATGGGGACATACATGTATATAAAGTGTAGGCCTATGGAAATATGGTATGATGTAGGGAAATATATATAATGTCCATGGAAATACGGTAATACATGGAGACATGTATATAAGGTCTATGGAAATACAGTAGGACATGGGGACATGTATTTATAAATCTATGGAAATGTGGTTAGATATGGTGATATGTATATAAAGTCTATGGAAATATAATAGGAAATGGGGACATGTATATAATTATATAGTCTATGGAAATGGGTAAAATATGTAGGCATGTATGTAGAAACTGTGGAAATACAATAAGATGTGGTGGACATGTATAGAAAGTCTATGGAAATTCAGTCAGATGTGGACATTTGCTGCGACAGTAAAATTTGTTTCATTTCAAAATTTGAAAACAGCTGCACTGTAGCGCGGTCAAAGTAAGGAAGTCTTTGGCTGGTTCTCTATAGTGAGACGTGCACAGTTTTTCTTGCTGTCATCCTGAGAACATGACATTTCAGTTGTTAAATCGAACAAATAGTAATAAAAATAATATAATAATAATAATAATACATTGCATTTATAGCGTTATAACCCAAACGAATATAAACCCTTGGAACGCTTTACATCAATCGCATGATCACTGAGTGTAATACATCAATCACATGATCACTTAATGT